CCTCCATTCGAGATTTACCCTACCATAAAAGAAAGTTTAATTACTATGATTACAAAGAATCATTGTTTAAACTTATACTCTAGCAGAATGATTCTTCTGATCATTCATGGTTCCTACAATTCCACAAAGATTTCAAAAGCCAGATTCCGTCCTGGTTTACACAGTGGTGGTTTATTCACGGCCCCATTCATGAAATCTTTCCTGTTGATCTTCAAGATCAAATTATAGCCTTCTCTTTTGTTTATCGACCTAGTAAACACGAGAGTCAGTTTCTTATTTTACTAACTTTTATTTGCAGGTACAAAATCCCATGGATATGTAAATGAAAATGGGAAATTATTGGATTCAATGTCACCAGACAGTTTTATGTCAAATAGTGGCCTAGATTCCAACATGAACCAATAGTCAGACTTGTCCAACAGGAGTTCCCAGTCAAGGTTCCAACCCCAGCAGTGGTACCAACAACCATCACAACAGTAGCTCCAATTAAACAAGTCATGCCTCCTCTCAGGGTCTCTACTCCAGAAGAAAAGAAATCCGTTGAGGAAAAACTAAAGCAGAAAAAGTCCTCTTCTAAGGACTCTAGTAAACAGTCCAAGAAGCAGTCTGTAGACCTAATCACTTACACAACAACTTCTTGAAAGAGACAGCTATTCAGCATCCTCACAGGCATCAGCCAGTCCAGCATTGGATCCCTTCCAAGACAGTCAGGATCCTTATGCAGGTTATGATGATTTGGTAGATATTTCTACCTCATAATGATACTTGTCCATATATGTGATAGCTTCACTCACTACCCTCTCCAATAAGAGAAAGAAAAGCTGTCTGTTGCATATATTGATAAGAAATCGTTTTGGTTCAACGGCCCCTTCATTAAAAGTAGCCGTCAGTCACGATATCTGCTTTTCACCGAAAGTAGATTCCTCCAGACAGCATGAGGACCCATCTGCCACAAAAGTCAGTAGTCCTGCCACTAAAGTCTACATTCACCCGGGTAAAAGCAATTCACTTACATCGAAAGTCTAAAGTGAAAAACTTTACCCAAAGATAAAGCAGGAAAATAAGACAACGGAGCAATCATTCCAAAGATTCCTCCAGAGCTCCTTACCCCTACATAAGGACTTCAGTCTTCTCATCCAAAACAAGACTTTTTTCCAAAAGAAAAACCTTCATCACAGAGTTGTAACTCGAAAGCTCCATAAGCCTTCCTCATACACAACTCACAATCCCATATTTTGTAAGAAGCCTTCATAATGATGCAAATGAAGAGTTTATCTCCTATCCCCTTTCACTACTAACCCACTTAGTGCTAGTATTGTAAGTATTTATTTCTGTTATCATATTTTGAATCTTGTTCATTTAAACAAGAAGATTTTATAAAAGAAGTTATATTTTATCACCCTTATATCTACATCTTGTGATTCTCCACATCTTCTCTTGAATTCCGCACTTTGTTATATTTTGGTATCATATATATATATATATATATATATATATATATATATGGAGTTTAAACTTGTTGGATTCAAGTGCTTACCGTTGCACGAAATACAATATCTGTTAATAAAGATGAAACTTCTTTTTTTTTTTTAAATAGCTCAGTAACAAGTGCCCACGGGTTGAGTTGGTGGAACCCTTCCACCGAGTCCCGGAGAGACTTTTTACACCTCTATCCAGGCCAACAAAACCTACGCTTTCATAAAAATTACCACTATTTGCAAAATAAATTACGACCATAATAAATTGTAATAAAGTAAAGGTCAAAAAAAAAAATATGAAGTTTTAAATTTTCTTACCTTGTTCCAAGGTTTCAATCTGGCCATTTAGAGACCACACAGACCAAGTAAGACTAAGACATGCTTGGAGATGAGCTCGTCAAATTCTTCTCTGTCTTAATCATTCCCATCCCTACCAATTTCAGTTTTGGTTTTCACAAAGTGCATTCAAAAGAAAAATGTGGTAGGGCTGCAAATGAGAAGACATCGGACTTGGTTCGGATTAAATCTGTTCAAGTTTGTTCAGCATAAAAAAAAATAAAAAAAAAAAAAAAATAAATAAAAAAGAAGGAACCCGCTTAAAAATGAGTCAAGTTTGGTTCATATATACTCGCACACATTTAAACAAGTTTAGGCTAGTGTTCAACTTCACTAGCCTCGTAAACAAGATTCAGCTTAAGCGCAACTCATGCTCAGCTTGTCAAATGTATAGGGCTTGTTTGAATGACATATTAAAAAAAAAAGTTTTGGATTAGGGAATATAAGTATTTAGTTAGGTCATTTATTTCATGGTAAGATGGCAAAAGTGCCATTAATCCACGCAAATCTAATCTATTGTGGCTTTTGTTGGACTAAATCAATAGGATCAAAAGTTGTATAATGATCATTATTAGAGTGAATATTTTTAAATAATATTGGAGTCAAACTGACTTGCTATAATTGCATAAACGTGTATTTTTGGTTTACTGGTGGATGCACAAAAGTGTTGCTGGTGAACCATTTTAATTTATAAGTTATAATTTTTATGTTGGGATTAATTGCACCAAAAGTCTCCAAAATATGGAATTTGTCTCATTTTGGTCCTCAATGTTTCAATTGTACTATTTTGGTCTTAGAAATATTGAATATGTTTTTATATGATCCCTCAAGCAGACAACGTGCATATTACTAACGATTGTTTTATTATAAATTTGTCACTTAATACCTAAATATAAACAAAAAATAATTTTGATAGCTCTTTAATAAAATTTGGGTAGCCCTTGACAAAAGATGTATAATATGATTAACTTTTGACCAAAATGAGACAAATTCCATACTTTGAGAACTTCCAGTACAATTAACCCTTTATGTTATGAAAAACTATTTTATGTGACTTTTGTATCTCTCTTTATACATATCATCACATTACCAATTTTGATGAGTTACGTACTCTCTTCAAAAATAAAAACACCAAAATTACGTGTATGTCTTTGTCAAAAAGATAAATAAACACTACACTCAATGCATTTTAAATAAAAAAAAATAGCACACGCAATAATAATATGAATTAACACTGAAGTAGTTAGAATTAACTAGAAAGAAAGTCAACCTTCCCATATTCCTTTTACTTTAACATCTTGTACTAATGACTCATGAAGTAAATATTCTCGTTGAGATTAATATCCCATATTTCAATCCAACACTATTGCAGATAACATGATTGATAAGGAATATGAGGTTAGAATCTACAATCACCTACGCATCGAAAGTGAAACCTTTTCACTGGGCCACTCCTTCATTTCATTATATTCTACTTTTTTTTTTTTTGATAATTCATTATATTCTACCTGTATCCACAAGTAACTAGAAACATAAGTTTCATGTTCTATGAATGAACTTGATTCCACTTCTTCTGTAAAACAATACATAGTGGTGTACACATGTATCATAGAAGAAAAGAAGATGATAATAGGATTGATGAATAGTATATTTGGTGATGAATTATATATAATCTTTTATATATATAATATAAAAGTGATGAATTACATATTGTCAGCTGAATATTTTTCAATGTGTTGTCTATAATCAACTCATTATTTTTAACTCTTTGTAAATAGATCACATTCATACACATATTTATATTCTTTAACTAAACTATGCCTAAATCCGAAAAAAGGAAAGAAACCAAATTGAAATAAATCTCATATTTTGAGAACTTCCAGTGCAATTAATCCTCTTTTTTTTCGTGTGGACCATCTACCGTGTATTCAAGTAGGACCCATTGTATTTAAGTTGGTCCGTCTCCCATAAATAATTGATGATTTATGAATAAGAAAATAGAGAAAAAATTATTGAAGGGATCTTGATCTTTTCTACTTGGTCCAAAATTTATTGCTCTTCTTTCTAATTAATCCAAGTTTTTTCAGTTTTTTTAAAAAAATTATGTGTTGAACAGACAAGTTGGTCCAATGTGGTGGTATGTATATAACTCTTGGAACCATTGTCATTGTGCATATTTAATGACAAGCAGAAAATACTGGCATGGCTTTGTCAGTGCCAACTGCCAAGAAGTTTCAACATGAGTAGGGTTAGATATTTTTTATTAATACTAGCCAAACAAACACGAAATTAGTACGTATGAATATAGACTATAAAGAATTTGATTTGTCAAACCCATTGCTTTGAATGAGTTTCCCAAGCTTTCAATAATGTGAAGAAGTTTGGAGGACAATTTCTTGTGAGAATGACTGCATAAATTTATATCAAACCAAGACAATTTTCAAAGCATTGATCGTTGCCCGTCTAACCTTGTCACCATGTAAATAGTTTATATTACAATTTATACTTGATTCATTTATATTAGAGGAAATTAAATTTATTTAATAATTAAAAATTATGAAGATTAGACAATTTTGGTTGAGAATTTTCCCAAACACAAACTCATAATCTTATTGTAATACACACACATAAATTATAGATAATAAGACTCTATTAGGGTTAATCTACTATAGGTTCTTTGTTATTACGGTAATCAACTATAGGCTCTGATGATATTGACCTAGAAAAATAAACCACTTAGTTGACTTCTTTTGTTTTCTTGCTTCAAATAATATTTTTTCGTCCAATAAAATTATAACACGTCATGCCCACCAAGTGGGTGTCATCAACTGATTTGTATGACTCATGCAAAATTTTCGGAAGAAAAATAAACTTTATTGACCTTGACCTAGAGACTAAAGAGTCTTCTATGCCTTTCAATCCACGGCAATACTTTTTTTTTTTTGGGTCAAGCACGGCAATGATTTGAATTTTTCAATTCACTCCAGCTTTCTTTGATGGTAACGCCCCTACTCCTCCAAAAATTGATATCTGTCAATAGGATTTTAGACCTATAGAAAGGCACTTTCATCAATAATCTTTGTTAGCATCAAGATATTTTCTTAATCCTTTGGTATCTCCAAGTATGGTTCAAAGTATCGATTGATACTAACTTTGAGACGCCACGACCAATGCATCTGCGTCTCAATGCCTTCCTCCAAGGCCTTAGTGGTGGTGACTAGCCTCTGGTTGCTGATTCTCAATATTGAAGCTGCCCCTAGTTTTGTCTATCGTACATGCATTAACACAACCACTTACACTCCCAATAGCACTTTTCAATCTAATCTCAATCTCCTCCTCTCTGTTCTTTCTTCTAACAGTACACAAAAATGGTTTTATAATGCAAGCGTCGGCGATGATGTTTCTAGTACGGCTTATGGTCTGTTTCTCTGTCGAGGCGATGTTACAATTGAAGTTTGTAATGACTGTGTGGTGAGTGCTGGGAAAGATATAGTCCAGAGGTGCCCTAGAGAGAAAGTGGCATATATTTGGTATGATGAGTGCATGTTGCGTTATAACAACGGTCCTTTTTCGGGTCAATAGATGAGTTACCTAGGGAATATCAGTGGGATGGAAATGATGTCACGGAACCTAATCGCTTCGCGCAAGTGCTGGGAGGTATTATGGATGGCTTAGCAACTCAAGCATCAAGCGATCAACCTTTGGATGATCAAAATGTTACCAGGTTTGCAACTAGAGAAGTTAACTTCACAAGTCTTCAAAAAATATATGGCCTACTGCAGTGCACACCAGATTTATCCGAGGTTGATTGTGACGGATGCCTCCGAAAGTCTATAGGTCTTCTGGAAAGCTGTTGTAATACAAAGTCAGGTGCTAGAGTTTACCATCCAAGTTGTAATCTCAGATACACGACGTTCCCATTCTACCGTAGTACAACCAGAGCACCACCACCACCACCACCACCAACAACAACAACAACTGGTTCAGGAGGTAAAACTTCAAATCACAAGCCTATATGAGTAAATTGTGTATCTAAGTAAATTCTCTATATGAGTAATTTACTAGAATTGAACTTTTAATGAAGGCACTTATCGGAGTCCTTATGTCACCTATAGCGAATGAAATATAATAAAAGTGGTTGTATGTTTTTTTTTACCTAGTTTGTTGAGTAAATTGTTATTAAGTTTTTTGGTTTTACAGGTGAAGGGAAGATTGCGAAACACACATTTATTGCCATTGTAACTCCAATAGGTGCTTCTATGGCGCTTTTGGCCGTAGGCCTCTGCCTCCTAGTTGGGAAACGAAGGAGAAAGTACAATTCTCTAAAAAAAGAAAATGGTAAAAGATAGAACGACTTGATTTTGTCATCGATTTATAAGGTTTCGTGCTAATGCTTTTTCGGTAGTATCATTTGAAAATTTCAACAATTTGTTGTCTGGTTTTGTAGATGGGAACGACATTACAACTGTGCAGTCCTTGCAATTTAATCTGGGCACCATTGAAGCTGCCACAAATAACTTCTCTTCTAAAAACAAGATTGGTCAAGGTGGGTTTGGGGAGGTCTACAAGGTGAGTATTTAGAGGCATTAAACTTTAGTAAAATCTTGTGCACAACCGACTTCAAGCCTGGATAAAGGGTAAAAGTTGCATTACATAACTAACAACTAGCGTAAAACTCGTCAGACTGAATATGAACATGAACTTGAGTAGAAATCAAAATTTTTCATTCATAACTTATCATTGTATATTGTAGGGTGTCCTAGCTAATGGACAAGAAATAGCTGTAAAGAGACTATCTAGAAGCTCTGGTCAAGGAGAAATAGAATTTCAGAACGAGGTCGTTGTGGTAGCAAAACTGCAACACAGAAATCTTGTAAAACTTTTGGGGTTTTGCTGTGAAGCAGAAGAAAGGATACTCATATATGAATATGTTCCCAACAAAAGCCTCGACTACTTTCTGTTTGGTTAGGCCCCTCGTTTTTGTAGTTTGAGATTTTGCAAAAGATTTAATCTTCTAATATCAACACACAATTCCTGTGAATCCTATACACACACACAAAAACACAAACCTATACACCTTATTTCTAATATTTTTTAACCTATTTATATCTAACTCCTCTGTTTTGATTTAATCAACATAGATTGGGAAAAACGAGGGCAATTAGATTGGCGATGCCGTTACAAAATTATAGGAGGCATTGCTCGTGGTATTCTTTACCTTCATGAAGATTCTCGACTTAGAATTATACATCGCGATCTCAAAGCAAGCAATGTACTATTGGATGACGAGATGAGCCCAAAGATTTCAGATTTTGGCTTGGCAAAAATTTTTGGTGTGGATCAATCTCGAGGAATTACTAGCAGAATTGTCGGAACACTGTAAGTTTCCAATGACTCAGATATAAACATTTGCTTTTTGCAATATTATTCAACAAGATATCATTAGCTAATTTTTTTTTGGTCTGAATCATAGCTAATTAGAATATCAGGAAGTAACATCTTGTCTCTGAACCTTCATTATTTTGTTGCTCTAAATTGTTAAATCTATGGCTCTTGCTTGTAGTGGCTACATGTCTCCGGAATATGCAACGCATGGACAGTTTTCTGTGAAGTCCGATGTTTTTAGTTTCGGTGTATTAATTCTTGAGATTATCAGTGGCAAGAAGAATACTACTTTTGTTCAATCAGATGTCAACCTTCTTAGCTATGTGAGTGGAAACAATGTATATGTTATTCAAAAGCTAACTAAGTCGGTCCAATGTCAACGGGGCGCGGGCATTAGACACGCCCAACATTCCTATACATCCGAATAGACTGTTTATTGCTAATTTATTAAACCTCAGCCAAACTATGGTTGCAGGCCTGGAAACATTTGCGAGATGGGACACCACTGGAGTTCATGGATCCAACTTTGACGGGTCCTTACTCAACAATTGAAGTGATTAGGTGCATCCATATCGGATTATTGTGTGTTCAAGAAGATGTCGATGCGAGGCCCTCGATGGCATCCGTAGTTCTTATGCTCAACAGTTACTCTTTTACTATGCCACTGCCTCAACAACCTGCATTCTTCTTACATGGCAGTATCGAGTCGAATACAACATCAGGGGTGGAGTCTGCTCAATCCACAAGCAAATCAATGCCTAAGTCTGTGAATGATGTATCTATTACTGAGCTATACCCTAGATAGTGTGAGAAACCAAAGCAAATTTTTTCACTTGGTATTAGTGTATGATGTGAGAAGTATGAATCCTCAGACTGGGAACTTCTTGTAGTGGATGAGAAGTTCAAATCTTAATATAATTTTGGGATGGTTTTACTATATTTTCTTTTTAAGTTAGCATTATGCAATTTTTGGCATCTTTACATAACACAAGGTGTGGTTTCAAACATTCACCCACTTTGTTTTTTTTTTACTTGCAATGGGACTGTCTTTTTGGATTGATGACTGAAACTAAACCTCGTGTGTAAGATCTGGTAAGACTTATAGTTGTTTATGCACAATGCTCCATTCAACGGCTTATTTGAGAAAACCTCAATTACATCTATTCAATGCAGTCTTTTCAATATTACACTACGGCACACTAAAACACCAAACTAATCTTGCCGAACAAAAAAAAATAAAAAAACTATAAGAAACTACATCAACAACTTTTCTACCTAACCTGAATATCCACTTTCTTATATAACTAATTCGTAGGCACTTCGAATTTGTTATGTTCTATGACTATATAAAAAGTTTATAATGGAATGTTGTCATCATATAACTCATTGTTCTAAGCACCGTCATTAAACTTTCTTTGAATTTCGACTTTTTATTGAGGGGAAAATTGGTTCTATCCTTGTTGAGTCAAGGATTGATCATTTTTATATCTTCTATTTTATTTTATTTTAGTATTTCTACGATCAATGGCTACAAAAAAATTAAAATAAAAATTAAGAGTGATAATAAATATCGGTATAATACTACTTTTATATTGCCAGGGGCGGAGCCAAACATGTTTTATAGTGCGGCAACCTAAAAGCATCTGTAACTTTGACTCAAATGTAGACTCAAATTTAAATTTGAGTCAAAATGGTCCAAAAAAATTTTCCAACCTTATATCCAAACCTATACCAAATTAAGACAAAACTTATTCTGGACGCAAATTAAAATAGACTCAATTCTATACCAAATTTCTAACGGTAACTTTTTAACTTATCTAAAACTATAAGATTTCTTTGACAACTTATTCTCTGCCCTTCTTGATTTTTTGTATTTTTCAAAACCCTAATCTCACCCATCGTTCATACTATATAAACTCTAAACCTACTCATTAAATGTTTTTTTGATTTTTTGAAGTTAAACACTATCAGTAGTACAATTTCAAGCTACCGATTCTTTGTGAAATTTTAAGCCTTTACTACTTACAAATTTATAAAATTTGTCATTTTATTTTTTCAATCTTCCATTTTTGTTAAAAATGTATGTTTTTACGTTCTTCAGACTAGACCCATGTCAAAATAGTTATATTTTTTTTCTTTTTTTTTTTATCTGAATTTATAAAAAATAATAAAGGATTAAAACAATTTTAGAATTCTGGGATGGTTTCTTTATTCTCATGTAGTGTTGTAAACATATTCATTTTTTTTTTTTGAATTACCTATTTGTGGAGAGATATAAAAGTTTAATTTATTTTATCAAATATCGTGGTTTGAATGAAAAAAAAAAAGTGAGTTTTGGGATAATAAGGAAATTTTTTAAAAAATTTGAATAGATATTTGAGTTTATCTATTAGAGTACTTTACACCAAATCAAGTCTAATTGTTCACAAAAGTATAATTATATTAAAAGAACGTCAATTAAAGCACAAACCGCTTATATACAAAAAGAGCTATCAAAAAAGGCCTACAATAAAGTTGTCGACAAGATCTAAGAGAAAAAAATTTTGTACCAAAAAATATCACTCATATATCAAGTCTATACATGAATAAATTCAAATTCTCAAACATCTAATTAAAGTTCATAATTTTTCACCATTCATTTCATTATCGATGGAATTTGAAACTTCTATTTCCACATGTGCAATCAAGCCCCAATTACACTTAAGAATTTAATAAAACACTTGAGAATAGTAAATAATTTTAAAAATGTAAATGTAAGCCCCAGTAACCAAAGAATTTAAGCAGATCATCAATAATCTTTGTTGGCACTATGATATTTTATTATTCATAAGGTATCTCTAAGCATAGTTTAAAGTATCGGTACATACCGACTTCGCCGCACAAAAAGCGATGCAGCTCCTCCACACATTCTAATTCGATGTCCTACATGACGACTTTGAACAATGTCTCCAAGGCCTTAGTGGTACTCACCAGTCTCTGGTTGCTGATTCTCAATGCTGAAGCTGCCCCCAGTTTCTTCTATCATCTTTGCAGTAATACACCCACTAACACTCCCATTAATGCAACCACCAACACTCCCAACAGCACTTTTCAATCTAATCTCAATCTCCTCCTCTCTGATCTTTCTTCTAACAGTACACACAAATGGTTTTATAATGCAAGCGTCGGCAATGATGCCTCTAGTCCGGCTTATGGCCTGTTTCTCTGTCGAGGCGATGTTACCATTGATGTTTGTAATGACTGTGTGGTGACTGCTGGGAAAGATATAGTCCATAGGTGCCCTAGAAAGGAAGTGGCATATATTTGGTATGATGAGTGCATGTTACATTATAACAACAGGTTCTTTTTTGCGTCCTTGGATGCAACACCCATAGAATTATTTAGGTGGTCTGGATATGATGTCAGGGAACCTAATCGCTTCGCGCAAGTGCTGGGAGGTATTATGGATGATTTGGCAACTCGGGCATCGAGCGATCAACCTTTGGATGATGAGAATGTTACCAGGTTTGCAACTGGAGAGGCTAACTTCACAAGTCTTCAAACAATATATGGCCTACTGCAGTGCACACCAGATTTATCCAAATTTGATTGTAACCGATGCCTCCGAATGTCCATAGCTATTCTGGCTGACTGCTGTAATGCAAAGATAGGTGCTAGAGTTTTGCATCCAAATTGTAATCTCATGTACCCATTCTACCGTAGTACAGCCAGAGAACCCCCACCTACACGAGCAACTAGTTCAGGAGGTAAAACTTCGAATCAAACGCCTATATGAGTAAACTGTCAATTAGATTTCCTAGCATTCCAATTTGTGTTCCATATAGTAGTCCAAAAAAAAAAAATGCTGATTCCTTGGTGCACTTGTCTGAGCAAATAACTTTTCACACCGAAACGGAAATTTTTACTAGAATTGAACTTTTGATGAAGGCACTAATCGGAATCCTTATTACACATATAATTATGTGACAAATGAATAGGAAATAAAATTTAATAAACGTAGTTGTATGTTTTGTCTTACCTAGCTTGCAGAGTAAATTGTTATTAAGTTTTCGGTTTTACAGGTGAAGGGAAGATTTCAAAACTCACATTTATTGCCTTTGTAGCTCCAATAGGTGCGTCTATGGCGCTTTTGGCTGTTGGCCTCTGCCACCTAGTTGGGGAACGAAGGAGAAAGTACAATTCTCTAGAAAAAGAAAATGGTAAAAGATAAAACGACTTTATTTTACCATCGATGTTTTGCATTAATGGTTTTGCAGTAGTGTTATTTGCAAATTTCAACAATTTTGTTGTATGGTTGTTTAGTTGAGAGTGACATTACAGTTGCACAATCCTTGCAATTTGGTCTGGGCACCATTGAAGCAGCCACAAACAACTTCTCTTATGAAAATAAGATCGGTCAAGGCGGGTTTGGGGAGGTCTACAAGGTGAGTATTTAGAGGCGTTTAACTTTAGTAGAAATCTTGTGCAATTCCAAGCCCGGATATATAAAGGATGAGAACTGCGTTAGTCTAAATTTGAATATGAACTTGAGTAGAAATAAAAAAAATTCACTTGTAACTTATCATTGTATATTGTAGCGTATCATTGCTAATGGACAGGAAATAGCGGTAAAGAGGCTATCCAAAAACTCTGTTCAAGGAGAAATAGAATTTAAGAATGAGGTTGTTTTGGTGGCGAAATTGCAACATAGAAATCTTGTAAAGTTTTTGGGGTTTTGCTATGAAGCAGAGGAAAAGATACTCATATATGAATATGTTCCCAACAAAAGCCTTGACTACTTTCTATTTGGTTAGGTCCCTCTGAACATGCAATTTAAATATTAATCCTACAATATTTATGTTTTAAATAGCAATTACTTTTTCTTTAATTACGCAATTTAAATTTAAAGCGATTATAGAGAAAGAAGAGAGAGAAGTATGTGTGGATTAGTGATGTTGTCTTACACTAAAAAGTGTGTCGGATAAGTTTATAATCAATCTTGACTGTTGTTATATTTTTATAAGTTGAGTTCCTAGCTGTAATATTATATAAATATATACATACACACATCAACACCAACACAAACATGTACAAATTGCTTCCTATTTGATAACTTATTTATATCTAGCTCCTCAGTTATGATTTTAATCAACATAGATCAGGAAAAACGAGGCCAATTAAATTGGCAAAGCCGTTACAAAATTATAGCAGACATTGCTCGTGGGATTCTTTATCTTCATGAAGATTCTCGACTTAGAATTATACATCGCGATCTCAAAGCAAACAATGTATTATAGGATGACAAGATGAGCCCAAAGATTTCAGATTTTGGCATGGCAAAAATTTTTGGTGTGGATTAATCTCAAGGAAATACAAGCAAAATTGTCGGAACATAGTAAGTTTTCAATGTCTAAGATATAAACATTTGTTTTTTGCAATATTACTCATGGAGATATCATTAGCTAATTAGAATATTAGGAAGTGACTTCTTGTCTCTGAACCTTCATTATTTAGTTGCTCTAAATTGTTAAATCTATGGTGCTTTCTTGTAATGGCTACATGTCTACGAAGTATGCAATGCCTGGAAAGTTCTCTGTGAAATCCGATGTTTTCAGTTTCGGTGTATTAGTTTTGAGATTATCAATGACAAGAAGAATATTACTTTAGTTCAATCAGATGTCAACCTTCTGAGCTATGTGACTGCAAACAATATATATGTTATTCTAAAACTAACTAAGTCGGTCCAATGTCAACGGGGCGTGGGCGTTAGACATGCCCAACAGTCCTATATATACAGATAGACTGTTTATTGCAAATTTATTAAATCTCAACCAAACTGTGGTTACAGGCCTGGAAACATTTGCAGGATGGGACACCATTGAAGTTCATGGATCCAACTCTGATAGGTCCTTACTCAACATTTGAAGTGATTAGGTGCATCCATGCCGGATTATTGTGTGTTCAAGAAGATATGGATGTGAGGCCCTCGATGGCATCAGTAGTTCTTATGCTAAATGGTTACTCTTTTACTATGCCACTGCCTCAACAGCCTGCATTCTTCTTACATGGAAGAATCGAGTCAAATACAACATCAGGGATGTAGTCTGCTCAATCCACAAGCAAATCAATGCCTAGGTTTGTGAATGATGATGAATCCATTTCTGAGCTATACCCTAGATAGTGTGAGAAAACAAAGCAATTTTTTTAACTTGGTATTATTGTATGATGTGAGAAGTATGAATACTCAGACTGGAACTTCTTGTCTCGGTCTCGCTCTGGCTCGTCTGCGGTTGGCGAAGTAACAGCACATGCTGCTATTAAGTTATGCGGCGCTGTTTTGTCCAATTTTATGGTCACATCGACTTACAATTAAAGATCTCCCATTAAACGGCATAGTTTTATGGTCAGCTCCCCACAGGAAATAACTTCCCGTAAATTCCAAAAGCCAAGAAGCCCTTCCTCTTCATTCTCTCTCTCCGTCTGCCAAGCTCCATATGAGGGTTTCTACACTCTCATTCTCTTGCCTTACAATTTCTCTATCTCTCTCTCTTAACCGGTGTTATAACAATAAATTGAAGACCCAAAACTTTACTCTCTGTGTCTCTTCCAGCTTCACGAATTGCTTCAAGGGTTGACAAGTATTTCAAAAATACTTTATTTTATCTGAATTTCTACCAATCCATCATTTTTTTTTCTGCAAGACTAAATTTTTGATCAATTGGATTTAACCTATCCATTCACGAGTAATGGGTTTTTTGCACTTATTTGTGCAATAAATGGGTTTCTTGCACTATTGGGTAATGGGTATCTTGGGGCACTTCTGAGCTTTTGACATGCAGTTAGTTGTTGAAGCAATTGTCAGGTGTTCCAGCTTCTCTCTATTTTTCTTCAATCCTTGTGCAACAACACACATGCAAATACAAATTCACAATTACTGTTTACACCACCACGATTGAGTTTGGTGAAGAAAGAAACACAGTAAACACAAAACACAGTAATTTGTGGGAGAAAAATGAAGAGTAAGGGTTTGACCATCTAGTTTTAGGGAAGATACTGACTCCGTCAAAACTGCACGGTTTAGGGGAGATGCTTATGTGTGCTCTGGAAAAAACGGCGCCGCATAACATAACAGCACCATGTGCTGTTTACTTCGCCAACCGTATACGAGGCCGACCCCTTCTTGTAGTGGATGAAAAGTTCAAATCTTAAAACAATTTTTGGATGTTTTTACTATATTTTTTTTTTAGTTAGCATTCTGCAATTTTTGGCATCTTAACGTTACACAACGTGTGGTTTCAAACATTCACCCATCGAGTCTCTTCTTTTTTTCCTTGTAATGGGAGCTGTTTTATTGGATTCATGACTGAAACATAAACCTCGTGTGTAAGATCTAATAAGGCTTATGATTGTCTATGCAGAATATTCCATTCAACGGCATATTTGAGAAAAACTTTAATTACATCCATTTAATGCATTCTTTTCAACATTGTACTAAAGTACACTAAACACCAAATTAATCTCATTGAACCAAAAGAAAAAAATTATAAACAACTACATCAACAACCTTTATTCTTAAAATAAATGGCCACTTCCTTAGAACTAATTTGTAGGTGCTACCAATTAATTGTGTTCTATATCTATATAAACCAATATAAAAAGTGTGTGATGGAATGACGTCATCATAAAACTCATTGTTCTAAGCACTGCCATTAAGCTTTTTTTGAGGGAAAAATTGATTCTATCCTTATTTAGTCAAGGTTTGATAGTTTTCATATTTTTTTATTTTATTTTATCATAATATTTTTATGATCAATGGTCACAACAAATTAAAATAAAAATTAGAAGTGATAATGAATATCGGTATAATAACACTTTGATATCGCAATGCTCTCCTAAAGTAACAATGACGAGAGTTATTCTTTACTCTAAAATTGGAGAAAAAAGCAGAAGAGTAAAGATGGTATGATAGAACACTGGCAAAAAAAATGTTAGTTAATAATGTTTAAATCTTAACCTTACAAAAAAGACTTGAGACAAGTGTCTCATTAGTATGAAGAAATGGAGGACCATCCATTTCTACTAAAACAAGTAAAAATGGAGAGGAGCCGCAACAATATATTTAGTTGAAACTAATGAAAGACAAGGATAAATAAATCTTTTTAATAAAACTAATTTGGGGGATTGGCAAGAGGTACACATTCAAGGATTTTTTTGACTTTAGGTCCAGCCTCAACACTTTTAATGTCAAAAGCCCATAAAATCAACCCTTAACAAAAATACCCTTAATGAAATAAGTTACTTATATACTTCCACCGTCATCACCACCACCATCACCACAGTCGCCGCCGCCAACCATCATCACCCACCATCACCCATTGCCGTTGAACACCACCATCGTCATCACCCACCACCATAACCGCTACCACCATCGTCCACTTCCATTGCCCACTGTGACCACCGTTGCCAACCGTAACCACCCAAAAACGACCACCGTTATCGCCCACCACCACCACAACCATTCCACCACTACCATCATCGGTTCCCACCTCCATCCACCATCACCACTACCATTGCTGATCACTGTCATCCATTGTCCTCCAACATGCACACTAAAAAATAGTGAACTCAAACAATGATCTAAAAATAGTGAACACAAATAAATTGTGGTTAATTAATGAAATTGGTTAGAATATTTTTCATAATTTACTGTCTTATTTTTTGCAGTAAAAATAGTACTCGACAATAAAACGAAAATTAAATTTTAGTGAAACCGAGTGAAATAAATTTTTCAAAGTC